CTGATGGTAATGTTGAATCTAGCGTGGTAGCGAATGAGGCGCATACATTGGTCATCAAGTAACCACTACCAATGGACCTCAGATGACCTTATGGAGTGAAATATAGTTGGTTACAGATGAATACTGAGTGTCCGACCTTTGTGACACTGCACTCTACGATCGGTTTCGCTCTCGACACAACTCGAACTCGAGATGTTTGGTCGCCAGCCAAAGATTTCATCGCTAAGCCACGAATTCGTGAACAAAGCTTGTTAAGACGTAGTCTTAAGTCACAAGCCTGCCTTGTAATCCGAGGGCGCGGGTCCGAATCTGCGTAGGGATCTGGTGACCATCAAAGTACACTTAATCCACGCGCGGCTGGGTGTGGATCTGCGGCGACTATGCGTCAGTATTGCGTACTGTTGACGCTTATTTTCGTGTGCTCGTGGCTTAAGGGTAGCGGTCTCAACTAACATCCCAATTGTCCCGGGGGGTTCGATGTCTTATAGTTTTATTTCATGAAATCAAATGGGATCGAAACGCGTCAGCTCTAGTTTACGGAATATATCGCACGAAGACAGATGCAGACGACTAGAGCTGCACACCCAGTCGTACCATCGATTTAGAGTTGATCTCAATATGACGCAACGGGTATTGCACCTCGGTCACTTCCCCATGCTGAGATAGCTGCATCACTTGCGTGGACCAAGTAGCACTCGGGGGCACCGATACAAACTAGTGGTACCAGACCTAGGGCGCATACCTCACCCTCTGTGCTTTGAAGTGGTGAAACACTGAAACGATTTGCTAGAGAAAATAGTCAGGGCGGAATGGGTGTCAGAATTCGAGAAACTCTTAGACAACCAGTTAGTGGTTTTCAGATTCAGGGAGCGCATCGCACCCGATCAGCATATGGGGTAGTTGTAATATGCAGCAAAAGCGCAGGAATCAGTGACGTACTTCCACGTAGAAGTCCGAAACAACTTCGATGGAGCAACACAAACGCATGCTTACTAGCTTGATAGTTCCAGTATTCAGTTTAGTGAGTAGTGGAGGGTCATTTGGAAGCACTGGTTGTGTGAATGGATTGGGACGCGCAATTTCAGTATGGACCGCATGGAATTCAGCAAACGAACAGCATATGCGGAAGAGCTGAAGATTTGAAGAGCAACTGATATTCCCGACGATTGCGACGTACTTCAGCATGACGTCGACCGTCTCTCCATGTAGTTGGTCTACAGAGGTCGATCTACCGGCCAACCCAATTAGACCGTTATTTGTGAGGCTGAGGAAAGATAAAATTAGGTGTATCGACGCCCTGTCGCCCAAGCGCTGCATCTCACAACTTTCGTGAAGAACCTAGGCATAAGCTCACGCTGCGTTTTAAAACCCATGGACAATACGAACAAGCTATACGGAAACGGACTGCACAGGTTTTGTCGGTCAAACGCAGGAGCTACACTTGATCTGTGGAAATAGCCACTGACCTCTTCTCTTCGACCACATGACGGCTCACCCGCCCATTGTGCAATCATCCGTGGTGCGGTGCAGAGGCTGGAACGAGTTCAGCAATAGCTACCACGTTCATCCCCCAAGAGACTAGAACTGTACACCATGTCCTATTGTTGGTTTCCAGTTGACATCATAATGACTCAGTGGATAGTACACCTGGGTGACTGTCCCATGGCAAGACCGCTGCTCCACATACGCGCAGCAAGCATGAGACGCGCGCCCCGATACAGACTTGTAATACCGGATATGAGGAGGGTCGCTCAACCTTTATGCATCTAGTGTCTTGTGGTGAAATATTGGAACAGTTTATCCGAGACAAGAGTCGAAGTGAAATCGATGCTGGAGTTCGAGAGACTCCTAGACCCCATTTTGCAAATTAAGAGAGCGAACCGCACCTGAAAAGGAAGTGCCACGATTGTTATAAGTCGAAAATCCGCGGCAAAAATTTTTGTAACGTGTGTGTGCCCGATCGAATTTTGATGAGGGAATAGAGATTTGTGTCTTCTTGCTCGCCATTTGCACTATTCAGGAAGAGTTCACAGGACAGACGATGAGAAGTACCAGGTGGAACGCAACGACAATACCATAATGACTGAAATTTGGTTACTTCTCAGATGACCCTAGTGTTCATGAATATCATATTGGTGATCACCTATGGACTTCGCTTGACTCTCCGCGGGTTGTTCGATAAGCACTTTCAATTTTCTGCAACTGGAGGTGTCCTGAAGTACAGGCCAATAACTAGGCGGACAGGATTGAGGGAGAGACAGATCAAGAAAGCGTGGACACAAACCCCGGGCAGCATACAGTGGGGGTGTTAGATCTTCCCTTTTTCGCTATTCCGAATTAACCACCCAGAAATTCCTCCGCAGCAATTCTAGCCCAGCCGAAGAAAAATCAAAATTCCAACAGCCTTGACCACGAAAAACGTGTTAACAAAAACTCTGCCAACGTAGCCAGAAAATGCTGCCGAAAAACACTGCCCTCTGAACTCTGAAGCAAAAGTCCAATTAGCCGAGAGTTTGAAAACGCATTCGTCCGCTCGATCGATTGCCTGATCGACCGCACGGGTAGGCGATTCCCTTCAGCCCAGCTTTCAATCATCATTATATATTTTCTCTTTTTGCTTTTATGTTTTTATCTGATTCCCGGATACCTCCCCTCCTGAAGCTGCTGCCGTTGTGTAGGATGCTAGCCGGGGATTAACCTGGAGCCTCCTGGAAGGGATTCTTCGCCTACCGGTGCATCGCCTTGGCTGTAGTGTTCTGGATTCGAATTCCGTACTCTGCGGTCTGGTACTATTCGTCTGATGACAGGGTTCTTCTACTGGCTCTGTAGGCAAGTTGAAGCTGTCTGTCAACAGGTCAAATGGAAGCTTGGCGGATTCTATTGCTTGTGGCTGACACATTGTTGTTCGCAGTTGGTTTGCATGACGTACCCATACCTGCGTTCCAACCAGCACGTCGTAAATGACGCTTCCGCGCTTGCACTGGATAGTTCCCGGCGTCCATTTTGCGTGTCCACCCCGATAATCACGCACAAGTACTGGCTGACCCGGTCTAAACGAACGTTGCTTGGCACCAAACCGCCGATTAAAATCACGTTCCATCTTTAGGTTTCTTTCACCAGCTATGGACTCTGAGGATGGCCGAACTGCATCATATGGCATGCGAAGTTTTCTCTTCATCATTGCCTCTGCTGGTGATATTCCACCCGGTGTTTGTAAATTTTGTGTAAATCGGTACAGAAATAGGAAGCGGTCGATCACCTCCTCTATGTCTTCCTCCCTCCTTGATTTGAGGAGAGCGCGTTTGAATGTATCCACAAACCTCTCCGCTTGGCCATTCGATTGTGGGTGGAATGGTGGAGACCGCACGTGTTTGATGGCGCAACGTTGGCAGAATTCCGTGAATGTGGCCGAAGTAAACTGTGCTCCATTGTCCGTCACTAATGTTTCAGGGCAGCCGAACCTGCTGAAAATTTGTCGCAACCTAGAGACGGTTGCGCTGGTTTTCGTGCTTCTCATGAGAAACACTTCGGGCCACTTGCTATAAGCGTCGACCACTATGAGAAAGTTCTGGCCATTGATTGGGCCTGCAAAGTCTACATGAACACGACTCCAAGGTTTAGTTGGTTTAGGCCATGAGCGGAGTTCAGTCTTTGGCGGTGCCCTTGAGGCGGTAGCGCAGTTGTCACAACTTTTAGCTAGCTGCTCCAGCTGCCTGTCCATAAACGGCCAATACACATAACTTCTGGTAAGCGCTTTCATTCGGGTGAGCCCTGGATGTCCTGCATGGAATTGTCGCAGCACTCTCTGTTGCAACGCCTGCGGGATGACTACTCTGTCTGAGAACATGATGCAATCGTCCACAATGGAAAGCGAATGTCTTCGCTGATAGAACTGCTGCATTTCGGCAGATGAACACGAACGTGGCCAGCTGGTTCTGTGGAAGTGTGTCACCTTCTTCAGGATTGGGTCTCGAAGCGTTTCGGCCCGCACAGCATCGGCCGTAACTGGCATACCATGTAGTGCCTCGTTCACCAGGAATTTGACATCAGGTTCGATCTCAACTGAGGCAATGATGGTGTCCTCGTGTTCTTGTTGCTGGGAATCAATGAGGCGTGACAACGCATCTGCTTGGCCCAGCGAATTTGTTGACTGATAACGGATTTCAAAATCATAGCCCATCAATGTAAGTGCCCATCGTTGGAGTCGATTGGCTGTATAGGCAGGAATTCCCTTCTTCGAGCCGAAAATGGCCAGCAGCGGCTTGTGATCCGTCTGGACGCCGGGAACGATCCAGTGCAAGCGCGGAAGCGTCATTTACGACGTGCTGGTTGGAACGCAGGTATGGGTACGTCATGCAAACCAACTGCGAACAACAATGTGTCAGCCACGAGCAATAGAATCCGCCAAGCTTCCATTTGACCAGTTGACAGACAGCTTCAACTTGCCTACAGAGCCAGTAGAAGAACCCTGTCATCAGACGAATAGTACCAGACCGCAGAGTACGGAATTCGAATCCAGAACACTACAGCCAAGGCGATGCACCGGTAGGCGAAGAATCCCTTCCAGGAGGCTCCAGGTTAATCCCCGGCTAGCATCCTACACAACGGCAGCAGCTTCAGGAGGGGAGGTATCCGGGAATCAGATAAAAACATAAAAGCAAAAAGAGAAAATATATAATGATGATTGAAAGCTGGGCTGAAGGGAATCGCCTACCCGTGCGGTCGATCAGGCAATCGATCGAGCGGACGAATGCGTTTTCAAACTCTCGGCTAATTGGACTTTTGCTTCAGAGTTCAGAGGGCAGTGTTTTTCGGCAGCATTTTCTGGCTACGTTGGCAGAGTTTTTGTTAACACGTTTTTCGTGGTCAAGGCTGTTGGAATTTTGATTTTTCTTCGGCTGGGCTAGAATTGCTGCGGAGAAATTTCTGGGTGGTTAATTCGGAATAGCGAAAAAGGGAAGATCTAACAGGGGGCACCGAACGGAATAGACCTAACTTACCGCTTAGGTTCCGAGTGATTGACAGACCGAAGTAGTTGAAGAAGGCGATGGAGAGGACGTAAAGAATGACGTTCACCATGAGTAGGACGTTATCACCAATTTGGTAGAGGGCATCGATAATGTTCTCATAGGACCCGTTCAAATCGTTCCCTGGAATGAAGTGGACGGCCGGCAGGGCAATCTGTGCAACGGGATGCAACGCACCAGGAGATCAGAAGATTGGTGTCAGAAATATGTGACAAAAAAGTTTGATAGATTAGTATGATGTATCTGTAGCTAATAAATTATGTATAATTTCGTTACATTGGCAATAGGTTATAACAGCAGGTACGCTGCGTGGTGATACGCCTGATTGCGTAAGTTAACGCAGCAGACGGGACCAGCGGACGAACAGCTAATTAGGAAACACCTACGTGCTCGTCAGTGAGACAATACTTGACAATGATTGTTGGACTAGATCAGGCGGCCCGGATTGATGCAAAGTGAACTGACGACTCAGGGTACCGTATAGATGACTGCTACACAGACTTTGTTCGGACTTCAGGAGAGATACACTAGACGTCTAAGTTAGTATACATAATAAAGACCAAAAACAACGAATATCTGGGAAAGCATTGTTTACATATTGCCAAGCGATGATTACCAACGGAGATGGGGATGAGGAAAAGTAAACACCAACATTTCCGCAGTCATCAAATTCAGTTGAAGGACGGAAGAGAGATGCGCTGTAATATGTCTCCGGACAAAAATGTGGTGCAGAAATACGGCAATAAAAGATGATCGGTTTATCTTACTGGTTGACCACGATGGAAAAGCAGGTGTTTTACAAGTTCCGTAGAGCTCGCCCGAGTTCCCCTCCGTTGTACTGTTGCCACGCGGCGACTCAGGCTGTGCAAGTAATAACTGAACTCTACCCATCGAAACCGCTGTTGTGTGTCAAAACAAATGCTTTCCCCAGCGACGTTGCCGCATCTCTACCGCCACAAGCCCCAGTGGCCTCAACTGAATTCTCTTCAGGTTACCACTCCTACGTGGCATGTCATGTGCCTTGCCGACATGCACCTTCCTCTAGAGTATATGCATTAAGTTTACATACTATTTTGCTATAAATATTAGGATGTAGAAGGCTTGATTAGCCTTTGGCTGAGTCAGTAAATGAACACTTACTATCGACCAACCTTACTTTCCTAGATCGCGGTGCAGTCGCATGCGGTTACGCGTTTCGTCTGCATTCGCAGCTTGCGTATCCAACGTATGGCAGCTAAATCGTGCCGATCTGAATTCGATTGGCTACTCTGCGCGTGGGGGCACTATCGGCGAAGAGTGTTCCGTCTGTTCCGACTAAGAGTCGAAACAACTAGGACATCTATAACAGCACGAAAAAGAGGGTATGTGGTAGATTTTGTGGCAGAATCCAGTTGTGTCATTTTAGGCGTTTGTGAGATAATGGTTCCGCTCTCCGTCTTCCATTAACAGTACGAACAGGTATCGGCGAGTAGAGACAGGACTTTTTATCCCGGAAATGAAACGAAACGATTACACTAAGCGATGAGATATGATTGATTGTGCCATCCAACAACATTTTAGACACGACCACTGACGGTGCGACAACGACTGACTCGGTGAAAGCGTCTCAAGGATGGGGTTTGAGAACACAGTTTTGATTGTACAGGGTAGCTAACCCATTATCAGGTCATCACTGAATACACTCACATAGTTCAACTTCTGCTCGCATTGAAGATTGCGCATCCCGACAACATATTCGGCAGCCCGACGTGGATGTCGTTCCGCAGTAATGATATCATGGTTTGTCCATTGCTGTTGGGCTTGAATTGCGTATTTCACATGAGGTTTCCCGCATCTGGACAGGTTTGAATCGGTGACCCATGGATTAGGTAGGTGTCTTACACTAACTTACACTGGACACACCGAAGCGTTATACACCCTAGACTGCAACAATAAGCTCATAGCCAGCAGTAACGTAGATTTAGGAAGGTCACACAAGTCCTACAGATATGCGTGGTAATCAACACGCTAACACATACGAAGAGTACAGTGTTGACCCAGAGGGATACGACTTCCACTAACCGTAACTATGTGTCACACAGCATTTAGAAGCAGTTGCTAAATGCTGTGTCGTACATAGATACTGATATTGGAATTCGTGTCTCTAGAGTCCAACCTTGTCTTCTATAACGTTCGTAGCTTATGTATGAAAAGTGTATAAAAAGGGAAAAGAAGAGAACCGACAAAAGCCCGATCCAATCAGGACAGAAAAGAATCGACCAAAGGTACGTAAAAATGTGAGAGACGCCGTTGAACTCGTGGGTGCACTAATCTAAGCAGGAGTTTCTATTTAACGATATAACAGACTTGCGTTGCAACCGCGCAGGAAAACAGGGTGTTGGTGATAACAGGGAGTCGGATCAGTCTCTCTCTGCTGCACTGCTTGGCATCTTCAATAATTGGCCCCGACGGATGCATTCTCAAGAACGCACGCATGTAAGTCAGTTCAAGGGCGCGCGAAAAAGCGCTACTGTATGGGAATAAGTGGCCCAACTGACAGCCTAGTACCGCACTCAATTTGAGGACTTCTGTAGTTTTCTCTCAGTTGTCCAACTATATAGGTACAACACTTCCTAGATGTGGGCGGCCAAAGACGGTTGGTTTCCCAGCGTCGTCAACGCGCGGTGGCTGTTTCCCGTTCATACAATGACATCTGGCCTAAAAGGCTAACAAACTGATAGTTATTCATCTGCAACGTGATTGGAGCTATGAAAAGCCACACAAACTTTTCCGTTCGTTAGAAGTGACAAATACATTGGTACACGAGCCGTTTTATTGTGTCTAACGACCCCACACAAACTGTGAGAACGGGTAGCGAGAAAGTTCAGTCCGGTAGCAGTGCCTCGGACACTGAAAATGCGAAGCTTTCTTGTGCGGAAGATGCCACAGGATGTTATGTTCACACACGCTAGGCGTAACGAGACATGAAGGAATCAAGAAGTTGACATCAGCTCTGAACGCAGCCAGTTCACCGAAGCTTCACAGTGAGGGCGGCGGTAAGGTTAAATCACCGGTTCACATCACGCAATGGGAGTCATCGGAGTGGACGTTCTAGTCCTAGTTCCCGTCAGCCTTCACAGGCCAAAAAAGGTGTACCTCAAAACTCGAAACCGGAACTAACACTCGCTGTGGTGGTTCACTGTGCTAAGCAACTACTGGATTGTACAGGTCTCCAACCGTTAGAGGATGGTGCAATAGGAAAATCAGCTGCCTAATAGTTTGGTGTTACCGTGGTACGTTTGTCTGTCTAATAAGAAGAAAGTATGCGGGACCACGATTGATTTGGAGCTGTAGTACACTTTGGAGAAACTTGGATCCGAGCCACACAGAGGCCAGCTCCTGGGCCGCAGCCGGTTCTGTCAGTTCAGCGTAGACACAAAGACTGTGTGCACTCTGTCACCCACAGAAACGACCAACAACCGGTCCTTTGGATCTGACAATCGAAGCAGCGACATCAATGAACACGAACCATGGTTACATTCGCATCGCGTGGAACCAGATATGGTGCACGGGATTAAACCACAAACCCATCATGATACCACTTTTAGTTATACACAATGAGAGGAAAATATGCTGCTACGCATGAACATACATGTGTATTTGTTGTCAGTAACTTGAGTTGTCTGTCATGTTGGCCGAGTAAGACTGTAGGAAGCCAACATCTACGCTTGGGACCGTGGTGCCATCCATATACACGCACCGGTGTGGGTGCGCTGGTACCTTACATTCACACATAATGGTATGTTACTGACATGGTGTATTTGCCTTGACCTTGTCGGCTGAGGGCGTTTATATGTTACGCTTATTAACCAGTCTTCATTCCCTAAGTTATTTTGATTGGGCGGTAGCGAAGTAACAGTTTAAATTTTACTGATGTATATTAATTACTGCTCTTATTGGTTGACTGCCGATGGTGTGAGCTCCGCCGACGTTGTAAACTGTTTCTAGATGTGTTAATGGTAACATGGCGGTGCTAGATGCTGTCAACCAATTCCGCGTGTGGTACGCAAAGTCGGATCATAGGTGAAGACGCGATGTATTTACAGCAATGTGACCTCTGACTGTTGGCGGAAACAAGTTCGACCAAACGAATGGACTTTGCGCTTCATAATTGCAATCAATAGGATCCAAAGCCACAGTAAAGAGGTGTACGAGCATTCAAGTCAGTGAGATGCACACTAGCGCAAGTGGCAGGCACTAACTCCGAAATTAGAGCTGATGACAATAATTTTACCGACGTGCCAAACAGGCTACGTCATGCTGGCCTCAGTATCGAGGTGGTGGCAAGCGGTACACATGGAGTGGGGGCGGAAACGGAACGGTGCTAGGAAGTTGTCCCGGAAGTTGACAGTTCAGTTGTCGGTCGACAACGAGCTGAGCAGCGAGGTGTGGTGAAAAGCAAGTAGCCAAAAGTTGTGTTTCTTAACGAAGAGAGATGATGAAAGGAAAGGAAAATACAAATAAAAAAGTAAACGGTAATTGGAGAAGGATCGATGGCAGGTTGGGATCTTTGAGCGTACAGACTAATGGTTGGAAGCCAGTAATGGCTATTTGGATAAGAATTCGGAACAAATGTAACAGCTGGTTATGAAAACGCAATCAAGGAGACAGAGCGCATTAGCCTAGCCAAATTAGTAGGTGAAGGTGGTTTGTTGATCAGGTACACTGGGGCGCAAATCAACACGCGCAGTGTCGGCAGGCATTGCAGTCTGAGGACGGGAGCCGACGATCGGATATAGAAAAGTCGTGACCTCTAGTCAGCGTAGATGTGCAAGTGTGACAACTGAGATAGTGCGGCAGCATCACAACGAATTTTTAGCCAAGATCCAACTGATGCGCATCAAACAGCATCGCCATAAATTGGTGGTGATCCTACAACAAGCTATGACCAATTGATGGGTCATTCACAGCTCTCTAAAGCGGGTTGGATAAACTTCAGCAGTGGTCCTCTTCCCGACCCCTTATTCTTAACGTTTCTAAATACCGCGATGTCAATTTCTCTCTCATCCGCATTGACAAACGTTTAACTGTCGCAAACGCTGCTCCCCACATGATGGCGAGTGATCACAAGATACCCAGTTCATTCACTGTTAAGTACCATGGTGTATATTTATC